ATTTTTTGCAACTTTCTGTATGATCTTTTAAAATTCACCAAAGGGAGGATTGTCAAAATTGGCTAAAAGCAAGAAGACCACCACTTAATATGTAAACTATATATTCTGTTGTTGGCTGGTAAATCTGTGGGAATATTTTTTCTCTGGTGTTATCAGAGAAAGAAGTAGCTGCTTTCTTAAAAAATAAGTGCCTTTGATTCAAAATCTGTTGATAACCTTGAGACCTACACAAATGGTAAGTTAGAAATTATATCATAGTGTACCAATTTTAACTAATTTACCCTTACTTGTCCTGTATTTTACATTACATGTCACTCACCTCTGACCTGGTACTTCCCAAAGAGTATAAAATAAACCTTTTTCAAAAATCTCTTTAGTAGGTAGCTCCTAGGAGATCTTAGCCCTACTGTTTTCAGTGCATGTTAATTTCTGTCACAGAGAGTCTATTTTCACATTAGCTGTTTGTCCTGATCAATGGTCAGATTTACAAATTCTTTAAGGTAACTAACATCACCATGGAAATTGATAGTGACACTTCCCTGAATCAAATAATGAAGAAATAGTCTCTCACAGGGAGAGGGAAATCACAAACAACTGAAGAATCCAATACAGAGAGTAACCAAAATTACAGTGTAATAATCTGTCTATACTTTCAAACATTGAGTAACCTTCAGACTTAGATAAATTGCTTTGTCATCTAAACAAACAAGCATTGCATTGAATCTCACACCTCTAGAATATCAATGTGAGAATCCCACATCTGTGGGTGGAAAAATACTTTTGGGAAACTTGTGTGTCAAGAATTTAATATACATTGTATTTTTTCTCTCTCAGTTAAGGCTGGTTGAATAGGTATGAAATAGCCTTAAGTTATGAAAACCAAGGCCAGAAAAATCTCTTTGATTTCAAAGCACCAGAACAAGTAAGAAAATGCATTGTGTGATATGAGCTGCATACATGTACATAGTGAGCTGTCTTCCAACTTAACCATGGATGATTTTCAACTATACCGTTACTTTCAATTGGTAAATTGGTTATTTATTTCAATCTTCATACAGAATCGACTTAAAATACATAAGTAAAGATTATGCAAGCTTATAATATTATACATCTGGATATCAACAGGGTACCCAATTATCCATGCACTGAGGACTTCTTCATAAAAAAATACGAAGGATAGTTATATACATGGCATGCAAAGCAAAAAACTTGGCCCAGCAAAGTGAGCTTAGATCATTTATTTCTCATGAATATTATGTCCCTCTTGACTAAGTGCTACAGCTAGACATGGAAATATTTGGGTCATGGTCAAGATGTGCCATGCAATGCAGCAAAGTGAGTACAACTGGACTGAGAGCCAGACTTAAACTGTTTTGACCAAATCATACAGCTACTAAATGAAGGTGGTGAAAATTTTTCAAATTACATTAACCAGCTGTAATAAAATATATCACCCAGGTGTGCGCAAGCCAACTGCAAAAAAAGTGTACAATTGAAACATTTTCTGAATTCCTTTGTGATCAAAAAAGAAACTCTGCCTAACAAGGGGTAAATTTTTGTTACACTCTGTAGTTTTCAGTCTTGGATAAAAATTTTTAAAATAATCTTACCATGTCAAGAGCCCTGTCTCTAAAGCTATTTTAGCATATGTGGAGTTTATACGAAGAAAATTGACCCTGCATTATCCTCTCAAATAAAGTGAGTACAATACTGAAATTTTGTGCACTTTAACATTGTGGATCCAGTGAAGAAAGGCTTTACATAGATAAGCAATTTAATTGTCTTTGAAAAAAAAAAAGCACAGTGAGGCTGTTTTTGAAAATAAACTGCTTTTTATAACTACAAACATTTTTTTATGGCTAATAGGCCAAATTGAAAAAAAAATCTCTTCTTACAGACATTTTTCTTAAAAACATAAGTGAATTAATCATACTGTGAAAAAGACATTTTCATAAAATAGTCGGGTCTTTCCATAGGGAATTCCCGACAAACATGTACGTTTCCTGCATTATTGAAATCGGAGATTCTGAAAAATGTCGACACGTACAAACCACGAAAGAATCAGGAAGTAAAATAAACCATCATTACGCGAAGGATCCGAATGGTTCTTATTTATAGCATGAGTCAATTCAATTATGAAAGGCTGATTTTACTCTAATATTTTCATAAATTATTCAAAGAGAAAAAGACATTTTCATTGACAAAACTTTTCGACAAATCAATCTCCGTACCTTCATTCCTGTGATCAATAAATACAATCCAAAGACAAATTATCCTCCATAAAATTACACTAATTCATCAAAACAACGTTCAAATTACAATAAGCATGGAAAAAAAGAATTTCGGTTAAAAACGAACTGTCCACGAAAATGATCATGAGGGGAACGAATACATGTTCGATATTGGATTTATCTAATAACACATTCCTTGGACTAATTTCAAACCAACAGTTACGAGTAAGATACAAAACTAATGTCGTTTCGCTTCGGCAGTATTATTATCGAAAATTATTAAGAATATTGTCAGAAAAAGCGAGAAAGAACGAAAGATCACATGAAGAGATTGATGTGCAAAATGAATTAACTAGCAACCGACCGCAAACAAATCTACCGTGCAAAACTTGTTTGCAAGTTGGAATCGCTCCAAACATGAACGATTGAACAAAATCACATTACGAACTATGGAAGAAAAAAATTACTTACTTTCTCGAAATTTCAGAATTCTTTCCACCGTTTTCGGCGGGATTGTCGATGGCTGCTCCCAAAGGCGGCCATCTTTCCTCCAAAGGACGAGAGCTGTAAAAGGTCGAATCGTCGTATTCAAAGTCTGCCATGTTATGTTTCAAACTCTACCATACATTCTCATTGCAGACCCACGACTCTCTGGAACTAACTTTCGAATTTAAGTCCAAACTAAAGCAGACTAAACCGTATAAATCCGTGAGATCAACGGTAGATCAAACTACTGAGCGGTGACGAAAACAAGCAATCCAACATTATTGACGCGCACTTCTGGACGCGACGCGCAGTCGCTGCGTGGGTGAGCGTGCGTGGGTCTGACTGACAGGGGAGGGGTGTGACTGAACCCAGTGGGGTGGGATGAGAAAGGAAAGACGGGGGATCGTTACTAACCCAACTTGTACCCTCTCCTCCAACACCGAATTTCGAATACAGGCCTAGACACTGGTGCCTGAAAAATAATAGTGGCGAGTGTCAGAGCTATAAAAACAGTTCTTTTGGTTATTTTTCCTCATATTTCATGTCTGAACTTCAAAACTATTCGTAGATCTCTCTTGAATATAAATATGACAAACAAAAACGTCTGGACGAAAAACCACTGTTAAAAAAACGGACTCCTCGAGGGTAGGGTGAGGGAGAATTAGGCTGGCTCGTTCAGTGGTGCTGTTCACTCAGAACAGATAAAATTCTTGTCTCTTCAGTTTTGGCTAAATGAATAAACTAGAAGGGTTTGCAGCAACTCCACACGCAACAGAAAAGGAGCCAGCGGCCAATACTGGAATTCGTTTGGTTAGAACAAAAATTGAACAATTGTCAGGACTGAGAACAGGAACGAATGCTTTTTTTGCGGCTATGTTATAGACCCGGATATTTTGCGACTGTAAAACATTTCTTTGTTGACTGAGACTCACTTAAATGCTACCAGATTTTTTTCATTTAACTTTCTAATTTCTAACGAAAAAAAACATTTTTGCCACAAAACAGAGAAGAACTTACGAAGTGAATCGTGAGGACAATCGTGAGCAGTGTCGTCAAGGGCTTTCGACACTGAGCTTTGTCGACATAAATTTGAAACATGCGTGTCAAACTTCAACCAATTGGAAACCACGTCGAACGTCTGTTCTTTATTCTGATTGGTTGAAGGGCCTGTCACGGCGTCAGCACGAAAACCTTTCACTGAAGATTATTTTTGCTGGCCAAGTTGTTCTACATCTTTTCTGGGCTTCTTCACCACAACTTGTGAAGGTTTGTGCGGGTTATCTTTGTAAGTTTCCTTTTTATTTCCTGAAATTTTCTTAGTTTCGTCTTAGGCTGGATAGGTTTTGAGTTTTGAGTCGTATGTCGAGCGGCGAATTTAATGTTTCTTGGTGAAAAGGCTTGTCTTTAATTTAGGAGGAATTCCTTCTTCTAGAATGAAATCTATGAAACGAAGAAAGAGCGGTAAAAATGTGGTTTCAAGCATAACGGAAGCAACGTTTGCTTTAATAGTTCTTTAGGAAATACCGTCGACTGAAATTGTTTGCTCTCTAAAAGAAAAGACGGCTGAACTACTTATTCTTTCACAACTTTTCGACTTGTTCTCTGCTCGTCAAATTTGTGAAATCGTTACTTTTGTTTTCCAGGTAGTGACGACAAACGTTTAGAACGACTCTGCTCAGAAATGGACATGGCCAACACCTTGTTCACTCCTGTTAAAGGAAAGCCTCTCAGTCCGTTTATTTCCAAGCTCAAGCTGCTTCTCAATGAAGAAAAATATCGTAAAGCCATCCGGTGGTCTGAAAATGGTGGGGCAATTCTCATTTCCGACGGTGAAGTATTCAAACGCCAGGTTCTAGACGAAAGCGCAGAAATGTTCAAAACCAGGAACTTTACCAGCTTTGTAAGGCAACTTAACCTGTACGGTTTCCGAAAAGTTCCCGTTAACGGAAAGGGTGATCCTTCAAAAAACATGGAGTTTGAACATGTCCATTTTAAACGAGATAAGCCGGAACTAATGCATTTGGTCAAGCGAACCTGCCCTTCAAGGAAAAAGAAGAGAGTTGCTCAAGGAACGTTGACTAGCATCAAAAGAGAAAGTCCATCTTTTCGAGAACAACGTCATGACAAATTCAAGTCACCTGGAGGAGAGGAGAGAGTCTCTGGAAAGTTAAGAAAAAACGAAAGCAGTTTCTACAGCGAAAGTCCGAGTTCTTCGCCGCGCAATGAAAGGGAAAGCGAAGAGGAATCGACTGAATTCAATCACTCGAGTCACTCTCCGTTTGAAGCAGCACAGAACAACGTTGGAAATTCCCTACAAGAATATTACTATCAAAGATTTCAAGAAGAACAGATCGCAGTTCAGCTTCTTTTGAATTTGCGTTACTCGTCGTCTTCGCCTCAAAGTTGTGAAAATTTTCAGCCACAGCCAACTGCTTACGATCCATCTTGCGCCGGATATTCCATGTACATGTACCCTTCGGTACCTTTTTATGGCCAGTACACTTCCATGTACTAATTCAAACATTGGCTAACTTTTAAATTTCTCATTTATTTTGGATTTTTATGATTTTTGATAGTTTATTTGAATCTTATCTATTGTTTAATCAGGTTTTGATGTTGTCTTCAGCACCCGCCCAAAATACGCCCTACTTGATGGGCCACATATAATTCGTACGCATGTATTTTTATGACTCAATTTATCGCGTAAGCTCTTTTTATTCTTACTTCGTCATTTTTATATTTGAGTTTTGAAAAATTAAGATTACCATTTAAAGATTATTGCAATGTATTACTGTTCAACGAATTGCTCAATTATTCTCACTGCAAGCATTGTAATTAATTTGTATTTTAGAATCTTAAAGCACGTTGTATCAAATACAGCGAAACTATAACATGTATTAGTATCTCCAATTTTTCATAAGTTATTATGAATTTTAATAATCAGTTCTGGAAAAAAAATCAGTGTCTTTTTGTAACTGATTACGATTTTGTGATGTAAGCGGTATTCAAAATGCTAAGGTTGTCAGAAACGGGATAAATGTAAGATTGCAATTTATGGAACCAATCATTGACGGACTTTTTGCATCAGAAGTGTATCTTAAGGAGCTGAATAGACAATGTTTTAAATAAACCATCACATCAGTCTGTGTTCTGATCGTTTTCCAGATGAATCCCATCTTAGTTCCAAACAGAGTACAACCTGTAATTCGTGCTAAGGATCACGTTGTGCTGTAGTAAGGCACCGATCAATTCATGGCCTGGGGGAGGGGAGGGGAATATCATGGTCGTGTCCCGATGAAATTTACCTGTTCCCCCTCTTACGCGCTGCAAACTCTTATGATCCCACTCCCCCCTTTATCAGTAATTCTCATATTCCTCCCTTTATACTCTGTTGGCGACGACTGATCCCCCTTCCGTTTCCCTGAAAACCATCTCCACTCCTCCTCAGGCGATGAATAATACAATAGCCCACGCTTGGTTTGTTGGCAGTGAGCAGTCGCGACTTAATTAAGAATTAATTAGAATTCTAAATGAAATGACCGAGGTAATTACTTTGCCTTAAAGACTTTGAATTTTACGGCCTTGTATCCCTTCATAAAGGGAGCGATGATTCAACCTTTTAGAGCTATTCCAGTTCTTTTTTAAGGACTCGAATTGCCCGTTGTCCAATGAAAACGGTTATAGTTTGCGCTGGAAAGGGAGTGGAAGATGAAAATCAGTTACGATTATTGATTCCATAAATTGTAGAATATATTTTTTCAGCGGTTATGATTAGAATTCTCAAAAATTTGATATTACAGTAACTGTAGAAATTCTCGCGCGAGAGCCATACTCGGTTGCACCGAGTGCCATTTTTTCATTTTTATCACATTTTGACGTCGTGTGGAATCTATTTCTGAACATCAGTGCAGTGACACACTTTTTTTGTTTAAAAGTGACAAAATTATGAAGTCAACTCCGTAATTGACCAAAGAATTTCTTTAGAAATGCAAAAAGGTTTTCTCTTTTCTTTAAACATTTTATCGTGCGTAACTCCTTTTAGACACTTGGAATACAGATGTACAGCCCCAAGTCCTGATCGTATGGTCCATTCCTGCAATTCCAGCATTTCCCTGATTTCCTAGGCGACGAGCCCAGTTTGGCGCGCACTTTAACCGGCGGACGTTTCGTGACCCACGTACACGGAAAACATATAACCGCGACCATGAACTTGAATGGAATAATTGAGATATTTGTTCCTTTGGACTTTTCGCTATCTTCAAAACTTGCTTGAATCATCATGGAACAAGACCGCGAAACTGGAGTCGAAGAAATTCTATCGAATGGCCAGCGAGGCTACTTATTTACAAACTGGGCGAAAACGTTCTCGTGTACACCAGAGCTATTTTTCGTACCAGAATCTATTGAAGATATCAGACAAGTGAGTTGAAGAATAGTGTTAGCATTTAATCTATTTTTCGTTCTAATAACAATCGTTGGGGTCATCCTTAGTCTACCAAGACATATTTTGGTAAAATTTATGTAATTTTGTTTCTTTGTAAAACGTAGATCCTTCGTGTGGCCACTAAGTTATGTAAGACTGTCCGTGTTGTGGGCGGAGGACATTCGCCATCCGATATTGCCTGTACTGATGGGTACATGATTAGTTTAAAAAATATGAAAGCGGTTTTGGAGGTAAGAGTCGATTGACGTGTCTTGCTTTTCTATTTGTTCATTCGGAGTCTTCAGTCTTATCTCGATGCACATGTGTATTATGTAACATAGGTATAACTTTCACGATCAGTTTAAAGTTTCAAGTATCTTTTACACCTGTGCGTTCGTGAAAGACAATTTTTCAATGCCCGCAGGCTTCCTGTCCACTTGTAAACGTCTTTAACTAAAACATGAAGAGACACGCTCGAGAACGCTAGCCAGATTGGGTAAAAGTGTCTAGCACATGCTAGCAGAAGATTTTCTACTGTAAGCCCGGTATGCACTGTATTAGTGAGTACTTTAGTAAAGTGCAGGCATCTCTTGCTCTGACAAAGCGTTTCTGTTGGGAAATCAAGCGGACATGCGTAGGGGTTTTGTCTACTATATTCGATATTTTGGCTAGTTATAGGAAATGAACGGATGCTCCTAGGGATTTATTTATCTTTTATTGCTTTGATTGGGATTGCATAAGTTAAAAGTACGTAGGTCACGAGATAGTATGTTTATAATCATATGCGTGCTCATGCACCAACTGACACGACAAAAATACATAAGTATGCTTCGCATACAAGAGTTATGTTTTGGGGTGGGACAAGTTGAGTAACTGATGTTTTCTCTTCTTTACACGAGAAAGTTTAAGGATATTGACTTCAAAAACATTCCAACGGAAGAACTGCTTAACTTTACTTTAGCATTATCAACACACCTCTGATTGTTTTGAATTATTAATAATTTTTGGGTCTATTTTCTCTTTTCTTTTGAATAATTTCAAACAAAAATAGAGTGAATTGGTTCCACACTTACAGCCATTTCTCTGCCAGTGTCAAAATAAAAATTATTTTACAGTTACATTGTAACTGCCTGCTAAATATTATTCAACATAATTTTACTTTGGATGCAAAATCAAAATATTTATCCCACTGAACCCAACCAAAGATCTTTTGGGACCTTTCTTCTCCAAACAAGTGAAAGTACATGTTATGATAAAGGTAAAGGATCACATCTGAAAGACTTTGATGTTGGCATGATAATGTGGTCTATCTGGACTTTAATGTAGATTGTGTGCACTAGGCTTCAGTATAGAATTTACTTTTCTTCCTTTTACCAATGAATGATGTAAAATTTAATGGAAATGTATTATTCTTAAAGATAGCCAGTAGATAACAATGCCAATAATAAGTGTTATTTTAGATAGACTATGACAAGAAACAAGTGACAGTTGAAGCTGGTTTGATGGTTAGTGAACTCAACGAGTTTTTGGCTGACTATGGCTTAGCATTACCCAGGTAGGTACATGTATTCACAGACAAAGTTAGCTGGCACAAGGCTTTCAGTTCTATTCTTTTCAAAGTTGTCATTTGGAAACCTTAAGTCATTTAAGTATTGCCAAAAAAGAAACCTGAATTACAAACAATAAATTATATTCAGAGGCTCATACAAAGTCTGAAACTATAACGTAAATTAACCCTTTGATTAATTAACTCCCATGAGTGACCAAGACAGAATTTCTATTTACAATGTTAATACAGTATCAAGCAGACAAGTGATGAGAATAAAGAAAAATATCAATTTGGGAATAATTAGGTGATCCAGTATTAAATTCTCTGCACTGACATGATAAGAATTATATGGTTGACACTAAAGAGAATTAAAATTTGATCTGGGAGTGGAGGGGTTAATCCCTTGAGGAAACCACTTGAAGCAGCATTTAAGTACTCCTCATGATTCAAAAGTGTTATCTTCAGTCACACTCACATGATGAGAACTGACAGGCTATTATTTATCAGCTCAGTTCATATCAGTTAGAGGATGTTTTGTAGACATAAACCAAATTCTCCCAAGTCATTTGCAAGGAAATGTTTGACCATCAGAATAAACATTGTCTTGAATGCAGATGTTTATCTGATGTTATCTGTGGACCATGAACACTTATAATTAAAAGACACATCTCTGACAGTTTATTACATGACTGCAAACCATTAAGGTCACCAAATTGAAAACTTATGCTTTAAATTTAGATACCAAAATATTTTCAAGGGTGACCAAAACATTGTAGCACAAATAGCTCAGGTGGTCATGGTGAGTTGGCGTATTCTTAATCCCTTGACTCCCAAGATCTGATTTCAAATTCTCCCCTCTAGCTACAACACATTTCCTTGTAAACTAGTTAAAAGAATTTGGTGTGACAACTGTTGATCAAGATAACAACTTTTGCCAACCAATTGGGTATTTTCATTACCTGTTTGATGGATTATGTGTAGATGTAATAAAAGAGGTTACATGTTAATCACTTCTGAGAATTGAACAATTAATTAAAATTGAAAATTGTGAATCACTTCTGGGAATTGAAGGATTTGTCAATATCAATAACTGAGTGCACTTTTATTGTAACATGATTTTAGCAACCAAGTTTCTACTTTTAGGTCACATACTTGTTAAAATGGGCACAGTGTTAATGCTTCTAACAGGAACTGTACCTGTAAAACTTACACTTTGTTTGTTTCTTTGTTTGTTTGGTATGTAGTCTTAGTTCAGTGTCAGAGATTTCATGTGCAGGTGCCATTGGTACATGTACACATGGTTCAGGAAAAAACTTTGGCATTTTGGCTATGTCAGTAAGTTTCTCACATACACAGCATTGATACAGTCCATTATGTATGCTTGCTCCTCTACTACATGAAATTTCTTTATTGTGACATGATAATCAATTATATTTCAAAATGTGGTCAAATTTTTTTTATCCCTTTCTGAGTTGCTAATTCCTTTGTGGAAAGAAGAACCTGCTTAATTAAGTTGCCTTGCTCCAGAAAAGTGGCTTTGTGGCCCAGTTGGTGGAAGAGTGCCCATGCAACTTGAATCTGGGTGGCACATTAGTCTGAATCCTGTTGAAGTCAAATTTTTCAGACTTCTTGTCTGCAATTGCTTTCATTGCAGGTTTCTCAGGAAGACTGTTTCCTTAGTTGTTTACTTTGCTTATGATCAGTGGGTCAGAATATTATTATTTTATTTATTTTCATTCTCAACAGTTAACTAAATCGGTGTTTATTTTACATGGCATTGTACATCAGGGAATTATATTCCTAAATTTTGATGCCTTTGGGCAATTTTTCATACAGAAAAGGAGAATATTCTGCTAAATTAGGTACTACTATTTACTAGACAAAGTACTCTTAACTATCCTTCTGTAAAGCCTGCCTGAAGCAAGGCAATTTTTTTTCTCTGCAGGTTGTATCCCTTGAACTGATGACAGCCAGTGGTAAGGTCCTCTACTGTAGTAGAGAGAAAAACAAGGAAATATTCCTAGCTGCACTTTGTGGTCTTGGTGCTGTTGGGATAATTCTCAGTTTGACTTGGCAGTGTGAAGAGGCTTTCAAATTACAGGAGACAAGCAAACCTTTAATGCTGGAGGAGGTATGATGCTGGTTGTGCAGTTATTCATTAATATGTAGTTTTGATTCTTTGAAGGATAAACATTACCCTATGATGACAAAATTGTTTGGATCAATATCAGTATCTGGGCAACTGCCCACCTACCCCTCCCCTAACTCAACAACTGTCAATTGATAACAACTTAGGGTTAATGTTGGGTTAGGGGAGGGGTAGGTGGGCAGTTGCTCAGATACTGATATTGATCCAATTGTTTCAATTTATAAGGATACACACAGAGAATGACTGGTGACTGAAATAATTGTTGAATTAAACCTACCTCAGGCCTACAAAAATCAGCCTCAAGAGGGAAAGCTGTGGAAATATATAGAGAATTAAAGTTTCTATAGATGACTTAGAATTAATATTAATTCCCCAACTACACCCTCTGACACAAATAAAACACAATTTGCTTTTTGGCGCAGAGAGAAGTTTATTAAGAATACGAACCAACAGTAAACAAAAGCTAATGATATGCTTAATAAACCTCTCTGCCACCCTAATGACATCACACAAAATCATCCAGGGTAGGAGGGTGGGTGGAAAGAAAAACGAAACAGTACACAATCTCTGGTGTGCACTCGAAGTGAAAACTGATGCGAAATGAAACACGAAACTCCTCTTGCCTTGTACTAGAATGTGTGTGTTGCACAATCAATCCCTTTGAACACGTGCTTGTCCAAAGGGGGTAAATTTTTGGTCATAAATGACCTGATTTCAGCAATTTAGTGTATGTGTCACAGTGACTGTAAATGATATGATTACTTCACTCAGCATGTTTATTTCTTCTTTTTTATCATTATACATTGTAATTTTGATGTGACTGTTAATTATTTTCTCAGATGTTAGAAAATCTTGAAACAAGCATATCATCCAGTGATCATTTCAAGTTCCATTGGTATCCACACACAGGATATGTCAAATGCTATGAGGTCAATAGGACTGCCAAGGTGCACATTCTTCCATCTTAAATTTTTATAATCTAGACAAGCCTTGTGATGAAAATTTTTAAAATCAGTAAAATGATAATGATTTGCTGTTGTTTCTGTTGAATAGATGGAAAATGAGAAATTAAAGAATAAAACAAATCAATCAAACTCCACAAGAAGCAATTTAAACCAAAATAAACACAAGCCATGATTATCATATACTGTATTTAAAGTACTTAAATCTTTCAATAGTCCACAATAATAACCTAGCAGATAATAAATGTCCTTTGAAAAGATGAAACTAAATATATTTTGATCTTAATAAGGCTATACGCTTACAAATGGCTGGGTTTAATTTCTGCATTGTTCCTGGGTGTGGTCTTTTATCCTCCTGAGAAGTTCAATCCTTGTGGTTTTGGGGAAGGACCCCCTTGGCTTGTTTCCCAGACAGTGCCTCATAATTCAAGCCTACATGTTGCACATGGCCAAATAACTAGTATTTTGAAACTCCAACTTAATATTAACTGCTTATAAACCCTTTAACTCCCAAGATCTCATTAGTAATTCCCTACCACTGTCTGCGAAATGATTCTCATTGTGTTATTTAGGAGAATCTGGTATCAGATCAATTAGTAATTCCATGATTGATATTTTCCTTTATTTTCATCACTTGTCTGCATGATATTGGATAGATTTAGTAAGGAGAAACTTTTTCTTGGTCACTCACAGGAGTTAATGGGTTAACCTCCATTTGACACATCTGCTGCACTAAAAGTGCCTATCTTGTTAATTATCTTTTAGCCCATAGATGACAATCCAAGTTGGTTTTGGGACTATGCTGTGGGTTATTACTCCTATGAGCTTGTGCTTTGGTTAAGGTGACAGTGCTACACTTTACGGCATTTTTTTTTTCTATTACTGTAGACTTAAAAAAGTCAAACCTTATTTCAGTTGTTAAAGTATATTTTGTATACTGAAATATACTTTTCAAATTGTTGTAATGTAACTTAACAAATTAACATACACTTTTTGATAATTTGAATTTGATTTAACAGCTTTTTGTTGTCTTTCATTAATTTTATAGCTCATTTGTGCCACCTTCCATACGATATGTGAACTGGGGTCTTTTTAAACTCTTCCACTGCAAACCTCACAGCAGAGTGAATCAAAGCCACAAGGTAGGATGGAACTCACTCTCAGAATTTTTCCTCTCACTCTCAATTACAATTTTCATTCAGGATTGTAGTAGCAGGAAAGTAGTGTGAAGTAACAGTCAATAATAATAATCGACAATGTATGTACCAGGTAAAACACAATATAAGAACATTGAAAACATTTGTGAGTATAGATTTGGCAAGTAGCTGATACTTGCTGAAACAATGGTAAATTGTTTATCATTCTTATTACTGCTCTAAGTGAGTGTCATTTCTCTATAGAGATTAATATAATGACATTTTGGAGAGTATAGCACATAATTGTATATTCTCACCTAAATTTAAAGTTGGAAACTCATACTATAACAATTAATTTAAAGTTATTGTGTTTGTCAGGTTTTTAACTTTAATTGCCTGTTCAAGCAGTATGTGACAGAGTGGGCCATTCCCCAGTAAGTTTTTTTT